GAGGCGGAACCTGGCCCTTCTGGTCCATGAGACAGCTGCCATCCGAAAGCCAAGCCCTCTTTCCTTCACCCTGCAGGCTCTATCAGACTCAGGAAAACACTTTGCCCCACCCAGCCTTCCCCGAGACCCAGAGGTGCTTCCCCAGCCTCTCACACCACTCTGCCCATTTGGGGGCTGCCTGGACCTCAGCAGGACCAACGCCGGCCTGACCCAAGCGACACCCCACCCACGCTCTGCTGATCATTTTCCTGGAGTTTCCCTGGTGCCCCACATTCTCCAGAAATATTATGGAATTGTTAGCTTTAAATTAGAAATTGTATGAGCTAGATCCCTTCTTCCCTTTAAGGCTAGAATTAGCCATGTAATAGATTTGATATACTCCCTTACCCTGTAACTCCAGTACTTGGAGCCACCAAGGCTCTTGGGACCTGCACTCTGGTGGCCTTCAAAGGCTGAAGTGGTCTCTGCCTTTGGTTGAATCTCTTTGTATGTCCTCTGAACCCAAAGGCGTAGTGGGGAGGTGTGCGGAGCTTCCCGTTCAGGTCTGCCCTCTCTGGCTTCATGGCTCTCTGTGAGCTTCTGAGTCGGCAGAGACAGAGGCAAAGGCAAGAGGAGTTTTAATAAGTCAGGCTGCAGACAAGGCTCGCTTTTTCCTCCTGGAAAAGATACAGACTTCGATGGATATTTCCTTTTTCCTGCTAATGTCACAACATTGTACAAGATAGGATCAAGGCTCATGGTTTGTGCTAAAATTTTAAAAAGTTGAATACAATAAAATACACATCACTGTTAACCCTCTTCAGAATCTTGCCCCTTGCTTTGAACACGCTTCTCCCATTATTCTTGGCACTTTCCGAAGCAGTTCTGCAAGTCTTCTTTCGTGAGTGTCTTTATGAACTGAGATGAGGGACTGGAAAGTCACAAAGAATGGGAGAGTCATGAGAAGGACCCGGACTTGTCTGCAGCCAGCATAGAGCTGGGCAGAGCTGCGAGGGGTCTGAACCTTTGCTCTTTGTCTGGATCTGGTCTTCACTGATGTCTTTTGGGGAGCTGATCTTAGCAGCTAGATCTGAATTGAGCCACGGTCAAAGCAAGGTCAAAAGGCCTGAGTCTCTACCCAGCTCTGCAGACCCTGTAGCAGGGCTGCCTTGTGTGACACCTTCTAGGCCTTCCCAGGTCACCGGAAGACACCCCTTTCTGCCTGGGTGGACACTGGCTGTCCTTCATGGGGGCCCTCCTGGGAGGTCCTTTCTCTGATCACAGGTGAGAAAATACCAAATCCATGACAGCATTTGCATAATCTGTCCTTTGAGCTGCTGAATTGTCTTCTTCAAAAAATGCTACCATGCCTAAGTTCTTTATCCTTAACCTTTTGCAAAATGGAAGTGTTTTCAAAAATTCTGGAGCTGGTGTGAGATAAACTTGAAGAAAGGGCCACCCCAGAGGCTGGGCTCCCTACCAGGGTGGATTTGTGCTGGGTTCGATGGGTGGCTGTAAAAGAGCTTCCTGAGACTGCTCAATAAACAAGGCTGCAAACTGTCTATCACCCTCAGGACCGTCCCTGTCTGGAATACTCCACACTGCTCTCCAAGGCCCCAGTCCACTCAAAAACAGAATGGACAGTTAAATCAGCTGGAATTGGGGGTACAGAATGTCTCTGCACTTCATTTCTTGTCTCATCCTGTGCTGCAGTGCATAAAACCCAGGACGTTCGAAAGGACAACTCAGATAGATTCTAAAAGCAGACACCCCCCCCCCCTTTTTTTGTCTTTTTGAGTCAGGGTCTTGCTATGCAGTTCAGGCTGACCTTGAGCTCACTTTGTAGCTCAGGCTGGTCTCAAATTTGCAACAATCCTCCTGCCTCAGCCTCCCAAAGCAGATTCTGTTAAATCAACCTCTCAAAGTCATTTTTTAGATAGAGACATTTGAAAATGAAGTAGGTATCGGCCTTCAAGGAATCATTTATCATGCTAAGTGTTAATAGCATTGTAATTAGAAAGAAAATTTCTATAATTTTATTTTAAAAAAAAATACATGCCAAAAAAGGTAGGAATGCAGTGGTCTAATATCTAGACATTTCTTTAAGACAGAAAGAAAAGAGGAAAGAAGGTAACCAGATAAGTGTGGTGCAGTAATGTCTTGGTAGTCTGCATCTGAGTGGTGGGTGGAGGAGATGGCCACAGAGATGCATTTGTGATGTTTGATAGTTTTCATAATCAAAATAAGCAGGGATTTAGTATTGCTAAGCTGCAACAAGAAAACATCTATGTTTCAAGAAGAGACAGTCAGATGGACAATAACTCCAAGGAACAAGGACCCAGGGTCAACATTTGAGACATAAAAGGCCCATCGGTAGATAACAACCGGGAAGAAAATCTCCACCCTGACATAGATTCATTTCATGGAACAAAGGCAAGTCTTCTAACAGGGTGGTTTTCTATTCCCACAGACAGAATAAAAAGGATATGAAAGGACATGTCGGCTTTCAAAAAGTGTGACAGGGAAAGGGAGAATAAAGCACAAAATAAACGAAATGCCGTCATTGTTAGGCAAATTTAAAAGGAAGCAGGCACTACAGCAAGTTAAGCCAGCAGCATGGAAAGTAAAAACAAAGCGAAATATTTAAAACCTTGAAATGTTAAGGCACAGCAGAATGTGAACACAGGCAACACTTCTTTCCTTGTTGGATTTGATGCTGTCCAGTGCTGGCCCTGAGATGTGAGAGCTAAGCACTCCAGTTTGTCCCTGGAAGTTGACTTAGTACGTTTGAGGGCCGTTGAGCACTGTCTGTGGGCCTTGGAGTGCGCATGTCCCGACCTTGTAGATCTACTTGTAGGAAAATATTCTGCGGAAATGCTCACGTGCATGCCGCAGGGTCTGTGCACCGAGGCGCCCAGAGCAACTCTGTAAGAGTGAAACAGTAGCAGCCATTTAAACTTCAGGGCCCACCGGGAAATGACAATAAAACTCCTTATGTGTGTGGTGACTGTAACATAGTCATAGTGAATGATATCAGCCGCATGCGGTGTGATCAGAAAATACGGTGAATATTTGGATTGAAAATAAGCAAGTCCATTACAGTAAAAGGCTTTTACAAAAAGAAAGAGGACCAAGAATGGCCAGGAATTAGTTCTCACTTTAAACACACTCAGCCCAGCATCCTTGCCACTTCCCCACATGGTTCTGGAAGTTCTGTTTGGTGTCTTTCTGGCTGCTTCAATATCCTGAATCAATCAAAAATGTTTATAGCAGTTTCTCTCACACGGAAACATTACACGTGTCATCCACCTCACCCAGTGGATCCGGCACTGTGCGATTTCTGGTTCTTCTCCAAAGTCAAGATGGCCGTGACAGGTCGATGGTTTGAGTTGAGTTAGGACACTGAAAAAGCCAGAACAGCACAACTAAAGATGCTTGAGAGGGAAGTTCCGGAACTGCTTCAGGAAGTGGGGATGTGACAGGATGGGTGTGTTCAAAGGGAGGGGAGTTCACAGCACTGTGCTTCCCACTACAATACAGTTGCTAAAAATGTCAACATTTATTTTATTTTCTGTCACGCCATATATGTAGAAATGATGGGAGAGTTTCATTTTACATTGCTTGCCTTTTCACTAAAAAGCACTAGGAAGGTTGTCACGTGTGTCATTTTATTAAAGACAATGCAAAAATGCAAAAGCAATGAATGATTATGGAGAACAAAGGCTGGGAAAAGAGTCTCTGCCATGGGCTCAGGAGTCAAAGGTGTAACATAACTGATATAAATGGGAACAGAGCTCACTATATTCAAGGGAAAATAAACAGAAATCTTTCCAAAACATGCTGGTAGTAGACGTGAAGATGGAAAAGAAAATGTTTTTCTATCCAAAAAGACTCAGTTACTATGATTCACTCAACAAAACAATTAACTATTTCTTTCGTGTAGCATTCTCTGTTCTAAAAACTGGAGGTGAGCAGCCAGGAGACATTTGGGGGAGAACCAGTAACCAAACACACAAGAAAAAAGCATGCATGATATAGAGAACTAAAATATAGAACTGGACAGAAAGAATGACATTTCTCTCAATTTTTGTCTTTATCAGTCCATTTTGCAGCACACAAAATCACAACCCTGGTGGAGATTTGGTGCACGTCCATTACACATTTACTTCCTGCTTTCATCCCTTTCTCGTCCTCTCTCCCTGATCTTCCATTTCTTGGTCCTCTCTCTTTTTTGTAAAAGTGCTAGCTCCCGTTTATTTTGCTCTTTATTTAGATTTTGGGTTTCTAAGAAAAGAAACCATGTGACATTTAGGCCTGTATGTATCTGGTTTATTTCACTTAACATTATGGTCACTAGGTACATATATTTTCCTTCAAATGACTCAGTTTATCTCTCTTTCTGCCAGAATAGTACCTTACTGTGTGTAAACGCTACGTTTTCTTTATGGATCCATCTGTGGATGGACATGTAGGCTGCTTCCAAAATTTAGCTATTGTGAGCTGTGCTGCTATAAACATGGGCGTGCGTGTATCATTGTAAAATGAGGTCTTTAACTACTGGTAATATACCTAAGAAGGAAATACCTGGGCCAAATGGAATTTCTATTTCTAGTTTTTTGAGCAATTTCCATAGTTTATATTCCCACCAACAATAGAAAAGTGTCGACTGTTCTCTGTAACTTCACCAGCATTTGTTATTATTTGATTTTTTGATGATGGTCATTCTTTCTAAAGTAGGATGGAATCTTGTGTAACTAAAATATACCATTAAAATTAACTTTTTTTTTTTTTTTTTTTTTTTTTTTTTTTTTTTTTTAGTACTCAGAGTAGTACTTTTATTTCCTATGGTATTAAACAAAAGCCAAGAAAATATCAAGTTAGTTTAAAAGGCAAATCTTACTCCTGAACGAAAAAATACAAACTGGTACTTTTATAATAGATCATTGTATTTTACATAATATGAACAAAATCACTAATGTATCTATATGCTTGGTTTCCTTAAACTACAATGAACCACAGAATAAAAGAAAATGGGTTTATTTGGGGGGAGCAAATAAACATTTTGGGGAAAAACACATAGCATGCTTTGTATTTTTTAAATTGTCTATGCATCGGCACTGACATGTAAAGTTTTAATAGCCACCACCTCCTCTTCCTTGTCCAAAATAGCCGCCTCCAAAGCCTCCTCTGCCACCTCCTCGCTGGAATCCCCCAGACCCTCTGTAGCCTCCTCCACCATGTCCTCTGAAATCTCCCCCACCGGGTCCTCTGTAGTCTCCCCCACCGGGTCCTCTGTAGTCTCCCCCACCGGGTCCTCTGTAGTCTCCCCCACCCGGTCCTCTGTAGTCTCCCCCACCGGGTCCTCTGTAGTCTCCCCCACCGGGTCCTCTGTAGTCTCCCCCACCGGGTCCTCTGAAGTCTCCCCCATTGGGTCCACGGAAGTCTCCCCCATTGGGTCCTCGGAAGTCTCCCCCATTGGGTCCCCGGAAGTCTCCCCCATTGGGTCCCCGGAAGTCTCCTCCATTGGGTCCTCGGAAGTCTCCTCCACTAGGTCCCCTGTAGTCTCCACTAGATCCCCTGTAGTCTCCACCAAAGTTGCCTCTATAACCCCCCCGGAAACCTCTATAGCCTCCACCATATCCTCTTCGATAGGAATTGGAGCCCCCTCCATATCCTCCACCGCCATATCCTCCACCGCCATATCCTCCACTACCATAACCTCCACCACCACCACCATAGCCTCCAGTGCCATAGCCTCCACCACCATATCCAGAACCCCTTCTATATCCACTTCCATTATCATATCGAGCCATCTTGGGAGGACGTGGACCATCTCCATACCGTGCAGCACCAATCATAAGGCTTATACCAGCTGCTGAGGGCCGAGAGATTTGTCGGATCATGTTCAACATATGTTCATTTACAGGGTCCAATTGACTGATGATGTTAGGTTGTTTGGTTACTTCAACAACCAGAGCTTCCATGGCTGCCCGGAGGGCAGTAATACAGGCAGCTGCAGCATGAGAAATTTGCAGTCTGATCCAGTCATCTACAAACACAATCTGTCCATCAGACTGGACTTTCTTGGAGGCAAACAGAAGCAACTGCAAGGGAGTAACTAAGGTCATGCCTTTAGCAGAGATGGCTCGGGTTCGAATCTTTTCACCAAATACAAAGAAGGGAGAAGGGTACTTCATGTCTTGGCTGCTAAATGGACAATTAACAGATGACTTATGGATAAGTGCGTTACGCCCTTCAGTGGTAAGAATTTTTCTCTTTTCCTTATGATAGCACACATTGGGGTATACACCAAAAGCCAAGAGAGAGATAACAACATCCAAATTATTATCTGGTCCAGTGTTAGTAAACACTTGTGTCAACAAACACTCTTCTGGAAAACCAGAATTAAGCAAAATTTCTTTAAGTTGAACTTTGGCCTCCCAAGTCATTCTTAATGTAGCCATATTGAGTCTTTTGTGTTCACAAAAACGTATCTCTGCTTCTTCTCCACCCATTCTAGCATCATCCCAGGCTTGAAATACTGACAAAAGTGCCACATGGTCAGAAAATCTGTTTCCTGCAAAATTTCGATGGATATAGCCCAGTCTCTTCCCTTCACTGATGAAAGGCTCTGGAAAGCAGGTAGCAGCAGCAATGGTACAGACAGCATCTCCCACATAGAAAATACATCCCATTATCATCATTTTTCCAAAACGGGGCTCAATGGGGAGTTTAGCCAGGATTCGTCCTAGAGGAGTCAATTCATCATTGATATCTAATGCATCAAGCTCTCTAAGAGTATGCTCTGCTTCAATCACAGCATCCAAAGGTGGAGGTTCAATTGCTTTGGCCAAGAACTGGCCAATTCCTCCCAGACGCAGAAGTTTTATGCTCAAAGCAATTTCATGCAATGGTGTTCGAAACATCTCTGGTGTCATATGGGTTTCGAGTCTCTCAAAACGGGCTCGGCTACAGAGGTGAAAGCAAAATCCAGGCCGCACACGACCAGCTCGGCCTTTACGCTGTTCAAGGTTTGTTTTGGATGCCCAGACTGTAGCATAGTTGGTCATGTTGTTGTGAGCCGTAAATAGTTTCACTTTTTGTTTGCAAGAGTCAATGACATAAACAACATCATTTATGGTAATGCTCGTTTCAGCAATATTTGTGGACAAAATAACCTTGGTTACTCCAACTGGTACTGGATCAAACACTTTGCGCTGTTCTTCTCGTGGAATCTGAGAATGCAGAGGTAGAATCTGATACCTATGGCTTCCAAAATGTGGATTCATTTCCAAATGCTTCTGCATAGTACAGATCAAGTTCCAGCCAGGCAAAAAAGCCAACACAGCTCCAGGAACATTAAGGGTTTCAATGTACTTAAGAAGAGCTTCAATGAGTTCAAAAGGAGTTTCCTTTTCATTCAACTGAGACATGCTCAACTTTGTTTCTGGACCATATTCATCACCACAGATCAAGTTGCAATTCGCATCATCATCCTCACCACTATCCTCTTCCTTATCCTTCTTTTTCTTGTCCTTTGGTGGAGGAACAAACTGGGTCATCTGAATACAGTCTTCCAAAAAATACTCTTGAACTGGGAAAGTTCTCCCATAAACTTCAATGATAGGGCAATTGAAGAAATATTCACAAAACATACTGGTGTCAATAGTAGCAGACATAAGTACAATGCGAACTTCAGGATAAGCCAGAACCACATCACGCAAGACCACCAAAAGAAAGTCAGTATTAATGTCTCTTTCGTGTATTTCATCAACAATTACATGACTGATTCCTCGAATGCCTGCTTCTAATTTTCTCAATAGAACACCTACAGTACAAAACATTATGCTGGCATGAGGACGGGGAAGTATAGACTCAAATCGAACACTGTAGCCACAGCTTTTTCCAGGCTCCTCTCCTCTTTCATACGCAACTCGCTCTGCCACAGAGACTGCACTGATCCTCCTAGGCTGAGTTACTACAATATTACACTCTGCTGCTCGATCATTCTGGATAAAGTCATCCAGGATAAACTGTGGAACCTGTGTGGTTTTACCACATCCAGTAGCCCCTCGGATAATAACAACTGAATTTTGATTAATTGCTTCCAGGATTTCACTTTCAAATTTCTTCACAGGTAGAGACTCTCTCTCCTGTAAGACTGCTTGCAAATCTTGATCATGTTCTAGCTGGCACATTAATTCATTCTTAAGATCCATACTTATTTGTTCTGGAGTAGCATAAGCCAGGGGCCCCTCATCAATGTTACAACTAGTCCAAGGATTCCAGTTGGATTGTGGAGGTGACCAAGGAACCACACCTATTTGGTTTTGTCGTTGAGATGGTTCAAAGTGAGCCAGTTTCCCAGTGTTGAATAGAACTGGCATAGAAGGATCAATAGGTGGAGGCACAATTTCAAGATTTAGCTCTTGAATCACATTTATCAACTGATGCTCTAAATCAGGAGAAATGTTAACTCTGTAAGGCTCCACTCTCTCTCCTTCTTTCTTCTTTGTAAGTCCAGAATAAGCTTCAATTACTTCAAGATGATAGAGCTGTCTGACAAGTGACAGAGCACAGGACTGTGCTGCCAACTTTTTATTTGATCCATGTTCACGTGCAAAAATCCTTCTGCCCAGTTGCTTGATATAAATGGTCATTTCGGCAATAAAGCTCCTGTTGTGATCAGGACCCACTTGGGTGTACTTATATTCCCCTTGGATCTTTTCCTTTTGGAAATATTGGTTCAGGCGAGCCTTAGCGTTTTCTAAAGTCCAGTTTCCATGAAGCCCAGCATTTAAATCCACTTCTTCTGATTCTAGAGTCGCTTCTACTTCTTGTTCCTCCTTTCTTGAGTAGTAGTCCTTCATATTGGTTCCCCGGCCTTCTCCGTCTGGGTCCTCCTTTTTTGGGAAGAAGTCCTTCACATCGGTACCCAGTTCCCAGGTGGATCCAGAAGCAGCACCAAAGCCAGATGCTCCAGCTCCAGAATCATTTTCTGCCTTGAGAGCCAGATGTGGTGGAAGAGGTCCTCCCATGGTGGTTGGTAAACTTTCACTGTTTTTTCCAGCATCAGTAGTAGCAGTGTCAGTAGCTTCAGTAACTGGAGGTGGGGGAGGTGCAATCCCAACAGTTGGAACTTCTTCACTCTTTACTTCATTTATTCGAACCAAATAGTTAACAAAGTCTCTGGCAGCATTGCTCTGTGCATCTTTTTTATTAGTAGAATTGCCCATGCCAGTATAATTAAACCCTTCTACACGAACCTCACACATGAACTTCTGACGGTTTTTGTTCCCTACTGCTCTAAATTCATAGGCTGGAGTCATCTTCCTTTTGCCACACCAGGCATACAGAAAATTTTTAATGTCACCCATGATTCACGAGTTTTCTTCAGACCCGGCCCCTGCTTCCCGGTGCCTGACAGTACAGCCCTCTCGCGACCGTCCGTCCGTAGCTCTGGCCTTCCACAGAGAAACTGCCAAAATTAACTTTTAAAAAAGGTGGGATCTCAATGCTGTTTCAATTTACATTTCTTTAGTAGCCACAGATATTGAACATTTTTTCGTGTACTTATTAACCATTTGTACTTCTTCATCTGAGAAGTGTCTGTTCATTTCAGTTTTTCTTTTTTGATTTGTCTTTTATTTTGGGGCAACTAATTATTTTGAACTTTTCATGTATCTAGATACTATTTATACCCAAAGAAAAACAAGTAAAATTTTCCCATTCTGGACAGAAAATATTTAACTTTATTATAATAATGACTAAGAAAGTTTTAAGTCTTTCAGTGTTAAATCGGATAAGGATTTGAGACTGAGTAAGTTATGGTTGAAAAGAATTATGGATAAAAGTCTCAAACCAATAACAATAAATTATTAGAGAAATATACATACTGATGACTCACCAAAAAAACGGTAAAGATCCCAAATAAGAAGTTCTGGGAGAAAAAATGCACTGAAAGAGATGGGCAGTGCTTAAAAATATTTTCCAAGTTAATTTAGTGCAAAATGAAAAAAAGTAGGCAAAACCCAGTAAGAAAAGACTTGCATAGACACTTGGGTCACACTGAATCCCTTCAAATGTCCAAGTGCAAATGTCCAGTAAACATGAAAAATGGGCTTGAGAACAGGAGTCACCCAGAAAGCCAGAATTAAGCCTGGGTGCTATGTGACTGTACTCTGTCCCTTCCTCCCTTTAGTTTCTGTCCCCCAAGCTTGGGGATAAAAGAGAGTAAAGAGGAGCATTTCCTTGGTCCTCACTTTTATTTTGGGGTCACTCTGTTTTATTTTTGCTTTGCTCCTAACTGATCTCAGAGTAAGTCATCTCTCAGTGTGGCATCTTCTGAACCGTTCACAGACCTTTAGCCAATACTGCTTGGCTGGTGCTTCCTTATCGGAAAGCTGGCGGGTTCCTCCCAGTCCACCTTCCGACTGGATGTTGTAACAATTCACAGTGATCCTGGGGGAAAAATAGGTCCTCTGAGCAGAATTTCATCATAAACTTGCCAAGAGGAAAGCTATGCTCCGGATGTGACAGATACAGACTGCCTAGATTATTGGATCAAGGCACTTATTAGATGGGATCAAAATGTAATTTATCCCCTGCTGCAAAATCTAAGTACAAAATCTGCAAAGGAACGTCATCCAGTTCCACTTCATCTTACTCCAATGACTGTCCCTCTGTGACCCATGATCTAATCATAAAGGGAGACTCAGAAATTCTATATAAAAACCAATCCAGTTGCTTCTGGATTAAAAGCAAATCATGAGAGAAGGTTCCTGGTGAGGGTTCCTGACAGCCTCTGTTGTGGGTGAGAGAGGACAGGGCACTGGTGCTGCAGTGCACCCAGCCTGTGAGAGGCACCCTGCACTGGGAAGTGCAGGTCAGCCAGCCACAGGCAATGCACAGGCTCAGCTGAGTGGAAACAGGACTTCCAGCCAGGTCTGAGCTGAGTTGCTCCAAACTCTACTGGGCAGAAAGCACAGCCACATCCATGGTGCCTGTGGATGACAAAGGGTGGCCACAAATACCACCGGAATTTGTCTCCACCTCCTTGTCTTCCTCCTCACTGCAGTTCTGGGTGAGGCCACAAAGGAATCCCTTCTCACAGCCCTCTGGGAAATTCTGTCTCTCTCTTTTCATTTCTGCAGTAGCACTGGGCCCAGGCGTCCAGGGAAAATACTTTCAGGTTTCTACTTTCTGAGAATAACATAGCAGTCTCAGGACACCCAAGCTGTGGGCACCATTCCTGCCTTTGTGCCAGGGCCTTTGTGCCATCTCTTTTGGCCCGTGGTGGGTGGGAAAACGCCTCCAGCTGGTGGAGCTAAAAAACCCGGATCCCAGCCAAGACTCGTTGACTTGCTTTGAGAATTCTTCAAAAGTAAGTTTCTCATGATTAGCAATTTAATGAGTTTGTTTATTTACTCTGGGTCTTTATGGGAGGTGCATATGCCTTTCCTCAAAAGCACATGTGGGTCTGTAGTATCAACATATGAGGGTTTATAATTTGCTTTTTGTCCTGCAAGAATAATTTGGTGGCTAGCATGAGAGGTGGTAGCAGCCACCATTTGCAAGCTGTCCTTGGTCTGCAGGATGGAGCAGGCCCTCCTCTGAGGAGTGTCCGAGAACCTATGACCAGCCAGAGCAGTGTGTGCTTCTTGGGAAAAAAGAAAGCCTTAGAAATTCCCAAGGCCGAGATGTCACATCTGCTTGGCATTCTGCTGTTTCCACTGGGATTCCCGGGACTATGTGGGCTTCTTGAAACAGCAGTGTGGAAAGATGCATTGTAGGCCGGGGCAGCAGGCTGGGTTTTTGAAACAGCCCTGGGGAGGAAGCTGTGAGGGGTGTTTAATGGGTCTCTAGAGCTGCTGCTCTACGAATGCTCTCCCCACCCAGCTGCAGCCATGAAGAGATCATTCGGCCACCCTCCCTCCCTCACTGAACTCTTTGGGTGCTGTGTGTTTCTGACCTGGTTTCATCTTCCCAATCAATGTTGGGTGTTGGATGGACCCTTGCTGAACAGAGACACATGGTCTCAGACCAGAACTCTCTCCCGTGCCACCCTCGGAGTGAAAATGCTCTTGGTCCATATCCTGCCCTGTGTTCTGATAGGCTCTGTGACACCCAGGTTTGCCTGTAAAAGGAGAAGGGGTAATTATACGCTTCTGTTCCTTGTGCATAGAACCAAAATGTGTTTCATTTTGGCTTTGTTATAAAGGGACCTGAGGGTCCACATGCGGGGATGGCCCCTCAAAGAAGAAAATGTGCGATGGTTAATCTTGAAGGTTAACTAGGATAGGACCATGCATCCAGTCTCTGGCTCCTTCTTTTCTGACGCTATCCCTGTTTATCTGCTTCCTGACTGTGTGAGCTGGGCAGCTTTACCTCATCAGGACCTTCCACCACGCTGTTTCTGCTTTGGAGTCAGTTGACCATGGGCTGAACCCTCTGCAACCATGAGCCAAAATAAACCTTTCCTCTTTTAAATTATGAAGGTCAGGTATATTGCCTTCACAACAGAAACCTGAAGGAAAATATGTCTATGCATTTTGCCCTGCCTGGACTGACTGACAAGCTCTCATGCTAGAAAGACTTTTTTTCAGTGGAATTATCTTTGAAAACATTTGGAATGTGGATGACATCTCAGAAAGTATGTTTTCCATTGAAGAAGCTGTATATTTTGGTGGTCTGTGGACATCAATTCATGAGGAAGGAGGGATTCTTGGGGGATCCACCTATCTATAAACTGGTCTGTGGGGTCCTGGGCTATAACCTGGAAAATTAGGATTAGGATATCAAGCTGTAGCTGGTGTATTAACAGATGTCTGATGTTCTGATAGGAGTGAGTGATATATTGTTAGAGAAACAGGAAAATAAAGGATTGCAGAGAGATAGGAGGTTTTCCAAAATATATATGTGGTGTAAGACTCATGTAGAAAATATAAAGAACTCCTACATACAGTTAAAGAAAAGAAAAAAACCAAGATAAGATGGGCAGAAGATGTCACTTGGTATTTCACTAGAGAGGTCATCAAAATGGCCTCCCAGGGACCACTCTTTAGTCACCAGGGAAACGCAGCATAAATCCACAAGCAGTGTCCATCACAAATCCACACAGTGGCTGCCACAAAACATACAGCACCACGCTCAGAGAGGATTTAGAGCTGCCAAACCCCTCGCATATGGCTGACAGGAGTGTGAAAGGGAATCCAAAGTGCACACACCCTGTCACGGCCCCTTACCCAGCAGCCCACTCTTGGTAGGCGACCAATGGAAATGCACATGAATCTTCCCCAAACAACATTCCAAGCAGCCGTCACAAAATAAACTCAACTCAAGCCAAAAGCCCACCCAGAGAAGAAAAGGTAAATGGGGTAGCGTGGCATCTCCCATAGCAACGGAAATGGACAAATTGGAAGTCTCCACGCAACTCTAGAAATGAATCCTGCAGGTTCAGTATGAAAGGACAGACACAAAAAACCAAAGTTATAAGCTGAGTGATCTTGTTTACGAGGTGTTGAAAAGCAAACAAAGCCAGTCTTTGGTTTGCAAAGTCTGAATAGTGCTAAGAGAGGGTCATTAATGGAAAGGGACGGGAGGAGAGGGAGCTACCTGTGCTGGGGTTGTCTGTTTCCTGACCCTAGAGACACTCTTTTGGTGATCTATGTGGTAGTTGATTATTTATGGAAATCCACTCATCTGACTGCTTATTATGAGCACGTCTATCTGCATGGTCATTATTCTGTAGTGAAGCTTGTCAAAAGATTTTATTAATAAATACATAAAACAACAATGGCAAAAGAATTAAGAGCAGCCTGCTGGAATTTAGCCTACTAATTATTCCTAAGCCTTAAATCTCCTGTGAGTTAAAAGCCTGCTGAGCGATAAGACAGCAGTAAGTTTTGGAGTCAATGAAAGGGATTCTGTGGTCCTGTGAGGTGCATGAGAGGTGAGAATACACCACAGAATCCGGTCAGGAGTCAGGGCCTACTGGGCTTCTTGTTGGCCCCTCTCCCATGTGCTGGCTCACGTGGAGGAGGAGGGTTGGGGTCTGCAGAGCAGGAAGCTCAGGGTGTCCCCCATCTTGGGAACAGATGGGGATGGAGGTCTTGACCTGCATCTACACCTCCTGTGATTAATGTGCCAGAGGGGAGTTGAGATCACACTGTGGCCTGTCCTCCTTCCACTTAGAGACAAGTGACCTGAGAAAGAGTCTCTCCCAGGCCATCCCTGCATGGAGTGGCCAGTAGGGCCATTTTCAGCATTCTGGCCACCTGGTAGGATCATCATTCCCTGTCACATGCAAGGTTAGTGTGGCTGGTGATAGTCTTGGGCTGGTATTGTGGTCTGTGTGCGAACTCTGGGCAGAAGCGCTTGAGAGGTGTCTATGTGTTACTGTGTAACTAGCGACGTCCCAACAGTGGAGCCCAAGTGACAGCAAAGTGGAGAAAAACATCTGCCCAGACAGTGATGGCACATGGAATA